TTCTGTGCACGTGAAGGCCCGTGTGGGGTGTCAGCGCGTGAAGGGCCCGTGTGGGGTGTCTGTGCACGTGAAGGGCCCGTGTGGGGTGTCTGTGCACGTGAAGGGCCCGTGTGGGGTGTCAGCGCGTGAAGGGCCCGTGTGGGGTGTCTGTGCACGTGAAGGGCCCGTGTGGGGTGTCTGTGCGCGTGAAGGGCCCGTGTGGGGTGTCTGTGCACGTGAAGGCCCGTGTGGGGTTTCTGTGCACGTGAAGGGCCCATGTGGGGTGTCTGCACGTGAAGGGCCCGTGTGGGGTGTCTGCGCGTGAAGGGCCCGTGTGGGGTGTCTGCGCGTGAAGGGCCCGTGTGGGGTGTCTGCGCGTGAAGGGCCCGTGTGGGGTGTCTGTGCACGTGAAGGGCCCGTGTGGGGTGTCTGCGCGTGAAGGGCCCGTGTGGGGTGTCTGCGCGTGAAGGGCCCGTGTGGGGTGTCTGTGCGCGTGAAGGGCCCGTGTGGGGTGTCTGTGCGCGGGAAGGGCCCCTGTGGGGTGTCTGTGCACGTGAAGGGCCCGTGTGGGGTGTCTGCGCGTGAAGGGCCCGTGTGGGGTGTCTGTGCACGTGAAGGGCCCGTGTGGGGTGTCTGCACGTGAAGGGCCCGTGTGGGGTGTCTGCGCGTGAAGGGCCCGTGTGGGGTGTCTGTGCACGTGAAGGGCCCGTGTGGGGTGTCTGTGCACGTGAAGGGCCCGTGTGGGGTTTCTGCACGTGAAGGGCCCGTGTGGGGTGTCCGCGCGGGAAGGGCCCGTGTGGGGTGTCCGCGCGTGAAGGGCCCGTGTGGGGTGTCTGCGCGTGAAGGGCCCGTGTGGGGTGTCTGCACGTGAAGGCCCGTGTGGGGTGTCTGTGCACGTGAAGGGCCCGTGTGGGGTGTCTGCACGTGAAGGGCCCGTGTGGGGTGTCTGCACGTGAAGGGCCCGTGTGGGGTGTCTGTGCGCGTGAAGGGCCCGTGTGGGGGACCTCTCAGGGACGGGTCCAGAGCGTCCAGGGCTGGCCGGCCCTCCCTGTGCTAGCTGCTGGGGGAACGTTCCAGCAGGAGGCAGGATCCCGCCGTGCCACAGGCCGCATGCCAAGGTGGTGCCTGGGATGCCACTCCCTGCCTTGCCAGACCTGAGGCAGCAGCCGAGGGACCCTGAATTGCTGGCCACCGCAACTCCAGCCCCAGCTTCGCCGCTGTTTAGGTCAGGAACCAGCAGGTGGCAGCACTCCCCCTTCCCCTCGCTGTCTGGATTTGCTACTCCGTTTTGAGTTTTTAAGTTATTGAAGTGCTTACTAGTGGTCTACGGTTTGTGGTTCGTAGTGTGCGCGCGTGTCTGCAATGGCTGTGGCCTGCGGGGTGGGAGATGTGCAGTCCTCTGATAGCACCACCACAATCTGCACTGACCACCTGGACTGGAGCCACGGCCACCACGCTGTCCGTGACTTCCAGGGGCTGGTAGAAATGGAAGGTGTGAGGCTGGCTTGGCCAGGTGCAGGCGTGAGAGCCTGCAGCCTTGATGCGGGGGTCCCTAGGCAGGAGAGAGGGGTGAGCTCCAGGTCAGGACTCCCAGGGGCCATGCAGCATGATGGGGTGTCCAGCACAGCCAGCACCCCCAGTGTCAGCATGAAGCTTTATAGTTGAAGGGTTATTTTTATTATTTGTCTTAAAGGCAGAGTTACACAAAGACAAGAGACACAGAGAAAGAGTTATTCTGTCTGCTGGCTCACGTGGCCCCGACAGCCAGCTAGCCTGGGCCCAAGCCAGGAGCCCAGGGTCTCCCCCGTGGTACAGGACCCAAACTGTTGAGCTGTCCTCCTCTGCTTTCCCAGGACACAGCAGGGAGCTGGATGGGGAGCAGGGCCCGTATGGGATGCTGGCTCTGGCACTGTCCCCGGGTGTGGACACGGGAGCGTGTGAGCTTACGGCCTCTGCCCGCTCTTCCTGAGGCCTCTCCTGGGCCAGTCTGCCCTGCTGTGTGTGCCTGCTGGGCTGCAGTGGGAGGAGCCCAACACAGGTGTGCGATGGCTCGTGCTGAGGTGTTTGGCCAAGGAGTTGGGTCCTTGGCTGTGGCGTGCCGTGGCAGGGAGGGATGAGGGAGTTGGTGGGCAGTCGGGGGAGGCACTGCCTACCCCTGGGGCTGGGTCTCAGAAGGAGCCCCCACAGGGACAGTGAACACCTGCCTGGCTGGGGTTATGGCCGCACAGAGGGAGCGGACCCTGGGGAACAGTGCTGGGCCGTGAGGACCAGGCAGAGCTTCTGCAGTGGCTCAAGCGTTGTTTGTTTTAGTTTGTTTGTTTTTACTTGAAAGGCAGAGAGACACAGGGACCTCTCATTTCCTGGCTCACTCCCCTTGAGGCTGCAGTGGCCAGGGCTGTGCCAGGCTGAAGGCAAGAGCGAGACTGCTCGGGGCCCCTCACATGAATGCAGGACTCAAGGACCTGGGCCGTCCTCGGCTGCTTTCCCAGCCACAGCAGGGAGCTGGAGGGGAAGTGGAGCTGCTGGGAGGAGACGCCCATCAGCCAGCGCCGGCAAGGCAAGAAGCAGCAGAGGGGCTGGCGCAGTGGTGACAACCAGCATGTTCAAGTCCCGGCTGCTCCACTTCTGATCCAGCTGCCTGCTTGTGGCCCCGGGAAAGCAGCAGAGGACAGCCCAAGACCTTGGGACCTGCATTCACGTGGGAGGCCCGGCTGGAGCTCCTGGCTCTGGCTGGTGCAGGCATTTAGGGAATGAACCAAAACATGTAAGTCTTGCCTCTAATTTTTTCAAAATAAAACAGAGCTATGGGCTACAGCAGTGGTGGCCTGGGATGGTGGGCTACAGCAGTGGTGGCCTGGGATGGTGGGCTACAGCAGTGGTGGCCTGGGATGGTGGGCTACAGCAGTGGTGGCCTGGGATGGTGGGCTACAGCAGTGGTGGCCTGGGATGGTGGGCTACAGCAGTGGTGGCCTGGGATGGTGGGTATGGCTGCTGCGGTGGGCCGCCTGCATCTCCTAGAGGCTCCTGGGCTCAGAAGCCACAGCCTCATGGCAGACTGCAGCCCCTACAGGGCGAGGGAGGCAGGAACGGGGCCGCCCAGGCTCTGAGCTCAGCCACACAGGGCCCAGGGCGGGCACCCACAGTGTACACTGTAAGCAGGGGGCTATTTTCAAACACCTGCAGAACCCCAGGATGCCCTGTGCCACAGTGGTATTTATAGGTTCATCCTGGACAGGGTGGCGGGCCGCAGGCTGCTGGCCTTGGAGAGCCACAATGCCCTCACATACCTGTCCCCAGGAGGCCTGGCTGCATGGCTGCCTGTGACGGTGCCCCTGCGGCCAGCTCTTGGGGTGCCTCTGCCCTGGACCTCGTGCCAGGGGGACTTTGAGGAAGAGGTGCTCAGGTCCCCACCATTCCTGATTCCACTGGAACTGGAAGAAGGTTCCAGAAATCCAGCTTCAAATATGTGCATAAGCAGGCAACCAGGGGCGAGGTGGGCAGGCCAGGCATCCCTGTTGCATCCAGCCCCCACAGGTGCCCTGCCCTGTGCCAGCCCTGGACAGAGGGGCAGTTTCCATGGGCAGTCACAGGGAGGCAGTCTGCTATTTCTGGCGTGTGAGATTCCCTTCCCTGGGCCCGACAGGTGCAGCTGCCCCATTTAGCACCCATGGCCCAGGAATAGAACACAATTTACAATGCAGCTTCTAGAGGCACCTGATGCTCTGAGAGGTGCCCAGGCCCTGAGCCTCCCATGGGGCGCCCGGACACCAGGCCTGGCAGCAACTCCTGGCTCTGGCCAGGATGAACTGCTCCCCGCGTACTCTGATCATGCAGCAGGGTGGTGGTTAATGCGGCCCCTGGGGACTGGTCAGCCACCCCCACAGGGCTGGGAGGTGCTGCTGCTGCACAGACGGCTTGTTCTCGGGGCCCTTAGCCGACTGGTCCCCCCAGGACCCCAGGTGTGGCCTCACTTGGGCAGGGCTCTCTGCCAGTGGCCCCTCACCCAGCATGAGTGGCATCTTCCCAAGGGAGGGGCCAGGTTGGGTCAGGCTGTTGACCCTGTGAGGCTCAGGGGACCCCTGCCCCAGGGTATCCCCAGCTGCGTAGCCAGCCCAGCCCTGAGGTGGCAGCTCAGTGAGGACTGCCGGGGCCCCACAGGCTGAGCCCAGCCACACGTGGCAAGAAGGGAGCAGAGCCATGGTCCCTGCAGCTCTGGGCCTGGGCTGGAGCTAAGATGGAGCTGCTGGCCATGGGCTGCCCTCCTATGGGAGGAGCAGGTATCTGCCACCACCTCCCTCCCCGGGAGCCTCAGCTGGACCCCTGTGTCCTGGCCTGGGTGTTGTGCCACAGGATGGAGCAGAAGACAGAACTCCTTGGGAGGAGGTGGCTGGCTGCCTGGAGGGGCCCCCAGACTGGACAGCCAGGCAGGACGTTGGGCTGGCTACAATGGCATGGCCTGGGACAGCAGGCTAAGGTCAGGGTCATTCGATCCCACCCAGATGCCCCTAGCCTGTGCGAAGCACACGGGGCCAGGGCCAGGGCCAAGGCCCACCGCTTCAGAACCACTGGGACGCCTGGCCATGGGCTGTCTGGTTCCCCCACAGCCTGTGCCCACCCTGATCCTGAGGGCTGCCACACCAGTGTGTTCTTGGGGCTCACTGCTCTGTGGGCAGGGGCCTGGGCAAGACTCGAGTTCAGAGAGTGCCTATGGGCACGGCAGATGGAGACTTTATTACCCAGGCTCCTCGAGTCGAAGCAGACACAAGACGGGGTCCCTACCCACAGGCCAAGCGAGGCAGGCGGCTGTGTCCTCAGGGCCATGGGGTGGCTGCTGGCCAGGGGGCAGCCCCTCTGTGCCAGTGCTGCAGCAGGAACTGCCACGGGCGCATCCGGGGCGAGCCCTGGGATATCAGGGGCTGAGACCCCAGCTGCGAGCAGGTCTGTGGTCTGGCCCAGGCCTCAGCAGGGTGGGCCGAGGTGAGCAGGCAGAGGGGTGGCACCCTCCACCCTGCCAGTGTGGCTCAGGGGCCAGGGTGGCAGCCAGCGTCTGTGTGCCGAACCAGGAGGGACATGCGGGAGAAGGCCTTGGCGCAGCCCGGGCAGCGGTACCTCTTGGTGTCCGAGTGCGTCTGCAGGTGCGCTCGGAGGTTGGAGCGGTCAGCAAAGGCCCGGCTACAGTGGGGGCAGGCGTAGGGCTTCTCACCTGGGAAAGAGGCAGGCAGCTGCAGGCGAGGAGTCCCCAGCCCTCCCCCGAGCATGCTCCGCCCTGCCTGAGGCTGACTCCTAGGGCCAAAGGCAAAGGCAGTGCTGTCCTTTGCCAGCGTCCATTCAGGTCTGGACACGAGCAGCCCTGGGGGCGGTGGCCAGCGGTCCCTGCTCTCTGGACACCACACCGAGACGCCATGAACAGCCCCCTTCTGCTCCCGGGCCACAGGGAAGGAAAGAACCTCCGTGGGGCCTGGGAGCGGCTCCCGCGGCCTCTGCCCTGTGAGCACTGGGGAGCCTCCTCCCCTTCCCTCCCTACCCTCTGCTGCCAGTGTCCGTCCTGACCTCCCCCGCCCCACACCCAGAAGGCTGGCTTCCCTTTGCCCGGATCAGAGCCCTTGCCTTTGGCCAGCTGGAGGGCGGGGGAGACCCCCACTCTCGGCCAACTGCCAGGCTAGACTTCCCCAGGCAGGGGAAGCCATGGGGTGTCAGCAGACCAGTGCTTGGTCTGGCTTTTGCGTGTGTCCCCTGGAAGAAGTCCAGGTCCCAGCCACTGTCACTTGGCTCCCCGCTGTGCTGACCCACACTGGTGCCCTGACCGACACAGTCCAGGAGCTGGGAGAGGTGGGCAGGGGCCTCCCGCAGAACTCCTGAGGGTACCTGGCTGGCCGTACCCGTGTGGGTGCGCAGATGGCCCTGCAGCAGCCAGGGCCTGGAGAAGGCCTTGCCGCAGGTGGCACAAACGCAGGGCAGCGTGTGGGTGCGCTGGTGCATCTTGAGGGCTCCCAGACTGCCGTACTCCTTGCCGCAGAACTGGCAGGCGAAGGCACGTGCCGCCTGCAGGTGGCACTGTAGCTGCTGGTGCCTGGCCAGCCCAGCCAGCGTGTGGTAGGGCCGGTGGCAGTGGACACACTCCAGGCTCTGGGGCGCTCTGGGCTGTTTGTCCGGGGCCCTGTCCCCACCGGGGCCTGAGATCGGGGGCCACCGTGTGGGCAGGGCCAGCACAGAGGGCAGGTTGAGGTGGTTCAGGCTGTCTTTGAGGGGGGCCCCAGGGGCCCGGGCAGCCCGAGGGTCCCCCCTGCCCGTTTGCAGCATGTCTGGCTCAGCCGCAGCTCCCGGAGCTTCCTGGTGGTACAGGGCAAGGCAGGGCCAGGGCCGGGGAGGGTCAGCCGGTGTGCAGGGGGGCTCCTGGGCTGGAGGCGAGAAGGGCCCCACTGGCTCCCCACAGGCCATGCAGGCACCGGCAGCTTCTGGAAGGCAGCAGGGGAGAGTTAAGAGGTGAGATGAGGCCCCTCTTGGTGCCCCCTCTTGGTTTTGCACTGGCTCCAGGCTGCCGGGAGCCAGGGGAGCCAGCTGGGCAGCGCCTCCGATGACCTGTTCCCCCCACCCCCAGCACCCGGCAGGCCCACGCACGCACGTGGAGTCAGATCTCTTGCAGCAAGTGCTGTCTCCCTCAGCTAATTAGCCTGCAGTCAGCCCCGAGTCACTTCTGCAGCGTCCCCGGGGCGGGATGCTGGGTGCCAGCTCAGCCAGCAAGGAGCCGGAGCCTCTGGGAGCTGCAGGCACGCCCTAAGCGCCGAGTCAGCTTACAGCAGTGGGAAAGGGGCATCCTGGGGCAGTGTCCAAGGTGAGCCCCACCTTCCTCACCTCACTGCCTCCCCCTCCAACTTTCTGAGCATAAAATCAGGGGTCAGATGGACGTGGGGGACACTGTGCGCCCGAGTGGAACCCTCTGCCTGTGCAGGACATGGCACGGGTGCTTGTGGGCATCATGGACGGGGTCCCCGATGGAGCTCCTGGCTTCAGTCTGGCCCAGACCGGGCTGCTGTGGCCACCGGGACTGGAAGACCAGACCTCTCCCACCCCTGGCTCACCTGCCGTAGGAATTAAGTAATATTTTTAAAGCGAGCACTCGGGAGTTCTGTCCTCCCAGCACGGGGACATGAGAGACAAGGCCTCAGAGAGGCCTGGACAGCCGGGAGGGGGTGTGCTGCCTGTCCCCACCTGCACCTGGCCACACGGAAGGTCACCTCTGTGAGTTCAGCCCCACCCCTGGGCGCACAGCAAGCTCTTGTCTGTGGGCTTCAGGCTGTCCCAGAGTGCAGCTTTGGGGCTGGGGCCCCACTGAGCCATGCAGGGTGGGCTGGGCTGCGAGGGCCCCGTGTGACCATGTGACTTGGCGGTGGCTGTGTGGGGCACAGGGGCCAGGCCAGGTGGTGGGGTCCTGGATGACCTCCCTCCTGGCTCCAGCAGTCCCCCAGAGTGTCTACGCCCAGGTGGCTACAGAGCCAGCATGCCAGCCGGGCGAGTGGGCTCCCATCTGAAGGGGGAGGTCGCTGCGTACAGCTGTTCCCGCACAGGGTCTCTATCCCACAATCAGGCTTCTGGGACCAGCGCCAGTGCCAGGGAGGTACAGGAGGAGCCAGCGTGTGCCCAAGCCTGTCCAGCCCCTGTGCTGGGGATCCCGCGCTGTCCACCCCAGTGCCCTGGGCCACTCCCATGCCTCCTGCCCGGGCTGCCACAGTGGGGTGGGCTCAGGCGCCACAGAGGGAAGCTTGGGGAACTGAGGACTTTTCCAGGCCGGAATGTACAGTTTGCAGTTGATACATACACCTTCGTGGGCTGCTTTTACCCCTGCTGCCAGAAGCAGGGCCAAGGGGGTCCCCTAAACAGATAGGGGAGTCACTGGGTCAAGGGGCATCCCTCCCACCTGGGGACAGGTGTCTCTTGAGCGCCCTGGTCCTTGCCCCACCCTCCGGTCCCGCAGGGTCGCTGCGGGCAGCCCCTACCTCTCTGTATCTCCAGCTGCCCGTAGTTGGGGACCCTGTGGCCGGAGTGCGTCTTCACCAGGAAGGAGCGCGGCATGGTGCCCCCGGGGCCGGGTCCCACTCCGAGTGCCCGGCGCCCGCGGGCAGGTGCGGGCAGGGTCAGGCGCATTAGCATAGCGCGCGCCTCTGCCAATCAGCAACCGGCGCGCACGGGGCGGGGCCGCAGGCGCCACGCCCAGGACAGGTGCGCGGGCTGGCCTCCCCGCCGGACTTCCCTGGCGCGCGCCCCCAGTCACGCACTGACCGCTTGGCGGGGCCGCCCCTCGCGCTGGATTAAAAAGGCCAGCAAGCAGCCGGGTCCTTCCTGGCCGGGCGGCCCCTCGGGACCAGCCAACCCCCAAGCGTTGCCGGGCAGACCCCAAAACCTGCCCAAGGTGACCAGGCCACCCCTCTGGACGAGCGCAGGCAGGAGCAGCCCAGCCCAGGACCCCCAGGAAGCTCCGTGGGAAAAACAAGGGGCCCTCTTCAGAGGGTGACCTGGGCATGGCTACTCCCCCACCTCCAGTGCCCGGAGAGCAGGGGCAGCACCTATGGCGCGCCAGGCCCCTCTGGGGTCACCGCCATGGTCAGCAGGGCAATTTCGGCGGGGGATGGCTGCCCTCTGGGCCTGTAGCTGCCAGGTGTGAGTAGCCCAAGGCTGTGGCTTCGTCCAGCTCTAGAGGAGGGGATGGTGTGATGGTAGTCCACACTGCAGCCAGTGTCAGCCACTGGGAGCCCCTTCTGCTTCTGCACCTGTTCCTCCTGGGAGAGGCCTATTTATAGTCCCTCTTCCCACCGCCCGCATGGCGGCCTGCGGGACAGGCCCAGCCCTCTGCCCCCGGCCATCGCCCTCTGCCGTCAGGCACCCCGAGTGAGGTTTACAGTTGAGCATACACCTTCTCCGTGGGCTGCTTCCTGAGCACATGTGCGTGCAAGCTGCACCCCATGCCCCGGGATACTCCACGCTCCCAAGGGTTCAGGGGGTGTCGGCTCAGAGGCTGGCCCTGAGAGCAGCCGTGACTGGGTGTGTCCCAGCTTGGGGCACCCCGTGGCCACCCGTCCACCTCATGTTCCCATTGCCTGATTTCCAACACCTGCTTGGGCCAGTGGTGCACGTGGCCACTTGTCCAAGCAGGTCATGGTTGCTCACACTTGGGGTACAACTGTGCACCCTAAACCTTTCCTCCAACTATGCTGGGGGCCACGGACGGCTTCGCTCTCAGCCGCCCTTAGACATGTGTCCCTGACGCCTCCTCACATGTGAATTTGAGCCTCGCTTTGCAATCCTTGCTGGGGGTGGCAGTGGTAACCACCGGGTCACCTTGAGGGATTCGTGAGCTTCCGCCTGAGGACAAGCCCACCCTGTCTGGCCGGTCAGCCGACTCCCTCCGAACGGGCCTGGTCAGGCTCTGGTGACCTGAAGGGGAACCCAGGAGACTTGCCGCCACAGGGCACAGCAGCGCAAACTTGGGGTACCATGAAGACCTGCACGTGGCTGCTCTGGCCACTGCGGTGAGCGCTGGGCACCCCCACCCCGAGTCAGGGAGGTGGCACCTGGCTCCTCTAGTGAGGGCAGAAGCTAGGGAGCGATGGATTCTTGGGGCTGCTGCACCCTGTCCCCCATGTGGCCTCGGGGGCCTTCCTGGGACAGCCCTGGGAACAGGGGCAGTGGCAGCGGGGGGATCAGTGAAGCAAGAACAGACTAGGGGGTCACTGGGCTGAGGGCAGGCAGCTGGCTGCTCTCCTGCGGCAGCCTGCCAGGCAGGTGGCAGGTGTGTGGGTCTGGTTTGTGAGGGGCACAAGGTCCCTTCAGAGATCTGTGGTCAGGGTGGGAGCTGCCCCTGAAGACGCTGTGCTACGTGCTATGCAGTGCCAAGGCAGTGACCCTGGCATGGGGAGGGCTCCACACAGCAGAGGCCAGGTGTGGGCAGCCGGCTTCCAGCCCAGGGCGTGTCTGTACCTGTGCCAGTGTTCACCAAGGCTCCTGTCCCTGCCTGCAGACGTCAGGGCAGGTGCTGGGTGAGCACCCCAGAAACTGGCAGGCTCTCCCAAGGGTGGGCGGCCAGAGCCTGCCAGGGCAGGGCTGTGACGAGCCTGTGTCAGGGTAGTCAGACTGCCAGGCGGCGGGCGCTGGCCTGCAGCTGTGACAGGCGGTCAGCTGGCAGCACAGGCTGGCCCAGCTCTGCCCCGAGGGGTGCCTGCCTTGGCCCCATGGGGCAGCCTCTGGGCACTGTCTGCTGGATCTTAGAGGGCGGTAAGGAAGGCAGCGGCTCAGGGGCCTCGGCCGTTTGAAAGGCAGGGTGGGGTAGAATCTCTCACACTCTCTCCCTCCCCAGAGGCTCGCAGTGGCCAGGGCTGGGCCCGGCAAGAGGCAGGAGCTCCGTGGGTCCTCTAGGCGGGCAGCACAACCAAATGCTTGGGTCACCTCCTGCCACCCTCCCAGGGACTTGAGCAAGGGCTGGATCACAAGCGGGCAGCTGGGATTCGAACCAGCGCTGATATGGGATGCCAGCTCTAGGGGGTCAGAGGGCAGTGTGGCTCCTGCCCCTGCCGAGGACCAGCCTGGGGAGCAGACACTTGCTTCTAGAAGCCTCCTGGGCTTGGGGGAGGGCCACCACCAGCCCACCCTGTCAGCTGGCAGCCCGCCCCACCGCCCCAGCATAGGCTGGGGGTGGGGGCTGGGGCCTGGGATGGTGCAGGTGAATGCTGGGGGTGGGGAAGGGGTGGGGCTCTGAGCCTCCAGGGCCAGGCCATGCTCGGGCTGGGGCTTCGGGGGTCTACATGCACAGGGTGAGGGCAGCGGTCAAAAGGCCACGAAGGCAGCCCTGGCTAAGGAGGGCGTGGTGCCCAGCCACGCCCACACAGGCACTCGGTGCTCTCAAACACTTTTATTGAAACTTTAAGGACGGTGCTGTCCTGCGCCGCGGACAGAACAGCGTGCGGCCGGCTGCCGCTCCCCACCCCTGCCCGAGGTGAGGCCCTGGCCGCCCGGCCGTGCGTGGGGAGCAGTGGGGGTCTCAGGATTCAACAGGCCTCGCCCACCTGGGCCAGCGCCTCCCCCGGCCGGCACTGACCTTCGGGGCTGCATTTCCGAGTTTTTTTAAAAAATATAATCTGTAAATGTCCCATAAAAATACTATTGTTGCTAGTCAAACACAGACGTGATATGAAGAGTAACTGCTGTGTCTTTGCTCTATAAAACGTGAAAAGATCGTCACACTTGGATCATAGAAAACGCAGGGCCCTGGGGGTCCCGGGCAGGCGGTGGCAGATGGGGGCCTCTCCCCGCTGCCTGATCCCAGGACGTCCCCTGTGCCGGCCCCCTGCTCAGCTGGAAGCACCGTGGTCTCCCAGCGCAGGCTGGCAGCCGGGCACCGGGTGGCTCTCCTCGGGCACGTGCAGAGCCCTCACCTGGCCGGGCAGGACAGCGTGTGCGTGAGCCCCGAGCGGGAGGCCCCTCTGTCCTGCCCCGGTGCGGGCAGACTGCTGGGCTGCGCTCAGTTCTCAGAGAGCGACAGGGCCAGGGCAGCCTGGAAGGCGGCCTCCTCGTCGATGCTGTAATCCTGGAAGAAAGCGTGTACGGCTGGCCGGGGACAAGGCCTGGGCCAGCTGGGCACTCATAGCGGCTCCCTGATCCCAAACGCGTGTACGGCTGGCCGGGGACAAGGCCTGGGCCAGCTGGGCGCACTCACACCGGCTCCCTGATCCCAAACGCGTGCACGGCTGGCCGGGGACAAGGCCTGGGCCAGCTGGGCACTCACACCGGCTCCCTGATCCCAAACGCGTGTACGGCTGGCCGGGGACAAGGCCTGGGCCCAGCTGGGCGCACTCACACCGGCTCCCTGATCCCAAACGCGTGGGGCCTGCACAGGCTCTGCCAGACACCGACGCGGTGCCTACCCCAATGCGGTGCCTACTTCAGGCTGCCCTGGCACGGTGCCCACACTGCGGTGCCTACATTGGGCTCGGGCTTGCAGAGTAGCTCTACATGGCCGGGGTCTGCTGGGGGAGCCCGCCAGGGTGCCCTCTGGTGGCCCTGGGGTCAAGGAGGCCGCGGGGTAGGGGGCTCACCACAAAGGTGTCGTAGGAGAACTTGTGCCTGTGGAGTAGATGCTGCAGGAAGTTGGCGCTCTTGTAGCTGGGGTCGCCCCAGGGCATGGCCGAGCAAATGGGGCACACCTGTGGGCAGGGGGTGGGGCACAGCATAAGGGGACGGGTGGCGGGGCCAAGCTCCCAGCAGTGGCTCCCAAGGCACCCCGGGCCCTGAGCTTACCACGCGGTTGGGGTCGCTGCGGTGACTGTCCACACAGTGTCGCACCAGCTCCTGCTGGTCCAGGTTGCGGGCGCCGCAGTAAGGGCAGGCGAAGGTGGACCTGTTGGGGATGTTGCTGGCAGGGGAGGGGGGTGAATGGTGGCTGAGGCTGGGGGTGGGGGCGCTGCCCAGGCCCAGTCTGCCTCTGTGGGCTCAAGCATACACCAGCCGGGCAGCAGGAGCCTCCTGGTGCTCGACCCCTGCTCCGGAGGCTGCGGGGCGTGCTGCCCAGCGCCCTGGCCACTTCTGCCTGCGTGGGGTAGAGCTGGGCTGCAGCCTGGCCGGGCTGCCCCTGCAGGAGCCATCATGGGCTCTCCAAGCACTTTCAGTTCTGGACAAGAGTCCGGGCAGCTGGGTCCCGGGTCTTCCTCTTGGCTTGGGGAGACCCACCCGACTCCCCAGGTGCCTTCCTGCAGGGCAGGGCCCTGGGCTGCCTACCTGGGGATGGGCTGGGACGTGGGCACCACGGGGACAAACTTGGGGCAGCTGGCCATCTGCTCCCGCACCTTCAGGCAGGAGGTCACGTGCATGCGCATCTTGGCAAGGGTCACCTGGGAGACAGGCAGGGCCGGCCTGTCTCACGGGGCTCGCTGGAGACGCCGACCTGGGGGCTAGGCCTGAGGGGGCGCCACGTGGTGCCGGGGGGCTGCGGGAGCTGGGGTTATACAGTGGACCCCCAGTGTCCAGGGGGCTGTGCTGGCAACAGGGTGCTGGGCCTTGCAGGCAAGTTGGAGAAGGGGGGCTCCTGGGTTCCCACCAGCCCCCAACCTCTGCCTCCCGGGCCTCACTCCTAGACCCAAATTCCCACACCCAGCTCTGCCCTGAGCCACCCCTGCCCCGCGGAGCCCCAGAGTCCCACCCTAGGGGGCTCGGCTGTCAGGAAGGGGACAGCTCCCCGCCGCGGCCCCACCCTACCTTTTTGCTGCAGCCCCGGCATGGTGCCTTGTAGGACGACAGCTGTTTCTCCACCTGGGCAGCCTTGTCCACCTTCTTGGGGTCAAAGGGCAGGCGGCAGAGCGGGCACAGGGGGGATGGCACCTGTAGGCACGGCTGGAGGCACTCCCCGCAGAACCTGAAGGCACAGGGATCCAAGGGCAGTGGCTGCTGCAGGCCTCCCGTGGGCACACGGCGGCTGTGGGCAGCCCACTCTGGACCCTGCTGCTGGACAGGCATCCAGTGGCTGACGGGTGACCGAGGGCTCGTCTCAGGGTGGCTACGGGACAGGAGGCTCTGTTTTGTCAGCCCCTAACAGGGCGGGAGAGCAGCTGCCAGGCCCGGCTGGGGATGCCCGGTGCTGGGCATGGCTCCCTGGTACACACTTGGGCACCTGGGGCTGCAGCAGCCTCCAGTTCTTGACCCTGTCCCAGCCATGCAGGGCACGTGCAGACGGGGGGCCAGCCTGTGCCCAGGTCCACAGGAAGTTCACAGGGGCACCTCGCCTGGCTATGAGTGCAAATGCCAGGACCCGACTGACAGGAAGTCAGGGTGAGGTTTGCGTGACCGTCCTCGTGTGCCAGGAGCAGGCAGGGCTGTGGGGGCTGGGGCGCAGTGTCTTAGTCCCGTCAGTCCTGCTTGTCCCACCTGGCTGGTGACATGGTGCGACCCATCCTCGGCCGTCCCTCAGCAGGGCAGGGGCGCACTGCCCACCCATGTGCCAGTGCAACGTCCCCTCAGCTGGGGGCTGTCACTTCACCCGACCCTGAGAGGGAAGCAGGCAAGTGGGCCACATAAGGACATGACGTCCATGGGTCAGGGGCTGTCATCCACCTGGGAAGATGGTGCCTGGCCAGTGTGAGGGGGTGAAGGGGCAGTGCGGCAGAGCTGGCAGGAAGTGGTGGGCACAGGCGTGAAGGGAACCCTGACTTCCCTTCAGAGGGGTACACAGTAGGGCGACGAGCCACAGCTCAGCAGCGCAGCTGTGGGGAGGTCATGTCCTTGGGGCTCTGTGGAGGTGGGAGAGCAGCCTGGGGGTGGGTGCACACGGACAAGTCCGTGCACTTGTGGATTCGGCTGCTGTCCATACCCCGTGTTCCGTGGGGCAGGAAAATCCACCATTCCTGGGGACCCCTAGCACGCTCAGGGGGCGCCCTCGGGAGCAGCCAGTCACGGCAACACAGGGGCCTGAGGGACGTCACAGGGGACAGCTCAATGACCAGGAAACCGGTCATTTATTCAGAACTGCCCACTCAGGGTCCACAATCACAGCGGACCCACACTTCTGGGTTGCTGTTGTTGCTGTGGGCAGCAGGGGACGGGGCAGAGGGGGACCCCAAGCCCACGGGGACAGGGCAGTGGGGCACCCCGAGCCCACGAATACAGGGCAGTAAGGGACCCTGAGCCCACGGGGACAGGGCAGTGGGGCACCCTGAGTCCACGGAGACAGGGCAGTGGGGCACCCCGAGTCCACGGAGACAGGGTGGACCCCGAGCTCACGGGGACAGGGCAGTAAGGGACCCTGAGCTCACGGGGACAGGGCAGTAAGGGACCCTGAGGCCACAGGGACAGGGTGGACCCCGAGCTCACGGGGACAGGGCAGTAAGGGACCCTGAGCTCACGGGGACAGGGCAGTAAGGGACCCTGAGGCCACAGGGACAGGGTGGACCCCGAGCTCACGGGGACAGGGCAGTAAGGGACCCTGAGGCCACGGGGACAGGGTGGACCCCGAGCTCACGGGGACAGGGCAGTGGGGCACCCCGAGCCCACGGGGACAGGGCAGTGAGGCACCCCGAGCTCACAGGGACAGGGCTCCGGGCGGCGCTCCCAGGACCCCGAGCTCGACCCGAGGACCCGCACCCGCCGTGTCCCTCCCGTGGCCTCTCCGGGCGGGCGCTCACGTGTGGCCGCAGCTGCCGATGGCCACGGGCCGGTGGTAGACCTCCAGGCAGATGGGGCAGCTGTACTGCGCCTCCAGCCCGCTGTCGCCGCCCGCGGGCCCGGCCGGGGGCTGCCGCTGCTGCGCCGAGGCCACCAGGCTCCGGAACATCGCCATCCCGCTCGGCCCGCCGCCCCCCGCCCGCGTCATCGCAGGGCGCCGCGCTGCGTCATCAGGCCGCGCTGCTCGGCCGCCGGCGCCATGGACGGCACGGCGTCGCGTCGGTGTGTCAAGTGCGCGGAGGGCAGGCCGGTGGTGGTGATCCGCGCGGGGGACGCCTTCTGCAGGTGAGGCGGCTGTGGGCAGCCTGGTGCTGGGCAGCCCTGCTGTGGGCAGCCCTGCTGCAAGTGGTTCGTTGCTGCCCGCGTGCCTGGAGGAGAGGAGCTTCCCTGGGCGGGCTGGTGGGAAGCGGGCCGGCCCCGAGCGAGCCAGACCAGCTGCAGGGGCAGCTCGCCGTCAGCTGTCCTGGCCAGGTGGCCCCGCGCAGAGCGCAGCTGGACGACTGGAGCTGGCGTGGCTGTGCCGAGGCGGTCCAGCCCACCCAGCCTCGGCACTCGGTGGTCACGTGCTGAGTCGCTGTCCCCAACCAGGGGTCGAAGGGGCCACTGCAGCGGTGCAGCTACTGGCGCACACAGCCAGGCCGCGGGCCTTTCTTCAATGAGTGAAGCCCATCGGGACTGAGGGTGCTGTGAGCGGAGCTGGGGAGCTCCCTGCGGCACCGAAGGGCACTTGTGCCTTGTGGGTCCTGGTGGTGCCTGCTGGCGGCCTCGGGCTGCCGCGTCACCTCTCCGTTGCAGGGACTGCTTCAAGGCCTTCTACACACACAAGTTCCGAGCTGTGCTGGGCAAGAGCCGCCTCCTCTTCCCCGGAGAGAAGGTGGGGTGTGGGCCTGTGGAGTGGGCACAGGCTCCGGGGGTCTCTCGCTCATGTTTTCCTGCCCTGCCAGGTGCTCTTGGCGTGGTCTGGGGGACCTTCGTCCAGCTCCATGGTGTGGCAAGTCCGTGAGGTGCGTCTGGGCGTTGGGCTCTCCAGGTGTCAGGTGGTCGCACCTGTGCTTCTTCCCCCGACCCCCAGCCCAGCCTCCAACATGGGTGGGTGTGCGTGTGCTGGAAACCGCCCTGAGGCAGTGTGGTCCAGGAGGCCGCGGGGTGGCCCAGTGGCTAAGAGTGCCTGGGGTCTTGCTGGGAGATGTGCAGCTCCGTCTCCTGCCCTCACCTTGATGTTCCCTAACCCTGCCAGGCCGGGTACACAGGCACTGCCCCGTCCCTTCCCCTGGCTCCAGGCATGCCGGCTGTGCAGCCACCTGGGGCCGCTCATGACGTGTCTGGCAGGTGGGCACTGGGGTTCTGCCCACGAGGGCCCAGCTGGGAAACCCCAGGTCATGCAGCTTTGTCCTAGCCCCGCCCCTCATGCTCTGGTCTGTTCCCACGTGGTGCTGCCTGCCAGGGAGACCTCCAGCACCAGGTGCCGGGGCCAGGAGCTGACCCCTGCCGTCCCCCTGCAGGGCCTGAGTCGGGATTCTGCCAAGAGGCTGCGCTTTGTGCCTGGGATCGTGTATGTTGACGGTGCGTGATGCCTCCCCGCCCCTCCCGTGGTGGGCGCTTATCCAAGGCCACAGCTGTCAGGAGCAAGGTGGGGGGCCCGGAAGGGCCATTCCCTCTGCAGGGGTTGGAAGCAAGCACCTGCCACCTGGTTCAGAGTGGCCTCTGCCTGGCTTTCAGAGGGCGCCGCCTGCGGCCGGAGTGCAGAGGACAGGGCCAAGACCCTGGCTGAAGTGAGGCTCATTCTGGATACTGTTGGGTTCCCGCACCACGAAGTCACCCTGGAGGAGGTGAGGCCCTCCTGGGGAGCTGCCCTGGGCTGTGCCTGAGGCCTCCCCTTCCACCTGCCTCACCCTACCCCTCGGTGTCCTGCAGGTGTTTGACCTGCCGCCCTCAGTGCTGCACTGCCCTGTCCAGGAGCCGGCGCAGCCCCAGGAGGCCTACAAGGCGGCCGTGGGCAGCTTCCTCCAGCAGCAGCAAGGGTTGGGAGCCCAGGACGGCCCCTGGCCAGCCCCAGGGGACAAGCAGCTCCACCCCCAGCACGGCCTAGGCCCCCAGAGCTGGGCTGGGCAGCCAGTGGACGACCGGACCCAGGCGCTGCGTGAACTGTTCGAGTCTGCGAGGACCCTGACGGCCCGGGAGGAGCTGCTGCAGACCTTGCGGTGAGCCCGCCCGCCACCTCGCGCTTGCCAGCACCCTGGCTCCTTCCAGCAGCCCAAGGTTCCAGCTGTGCCCGGCTTCTGCACCCCAGGACCCACCTAATCCTGCATGTGGCCCGAGCCCACGGCTACTCCAAGGTAATGACCGGGGACAGCTGCACGCGCCTGGCCGTCAAGCTCCTGACCAACTTGGCACTGGGCAGAGGGGCCTTCCTGGCCTGGGACACAGTGAGTGCTGGCTGCTCCAGGCCCCTCCACTTGAGGGTGAAGTCTGGGGGTGTCTCCCACCTCGGTGGGAGGGCAGTGGGAGCTCACGCAGCCCACCCACAGGGCCTCTCGGACGAGCGGCACGGGGACGTGGTGGTGGTACGGCCCATGCGCGACCACACCCTCAAAGAGGTCGCCTTCTACAACCGCCTATTTGCCGTCCCCTCTGTCTTCACGCCGGCCATCGACACTAAGGTGAGTTCCAGGGTCCCTGGGCACCTCCCGTCAGTGGACCCCCAGGTGCTGACGGCTGCAGTGGCCTCTGACTACACTGTGTAGGGCCTGAGGCTGCCCTGGGGACCAGTCCCTCCTGCACCCCGTTCCTTGTCTCCAGGCCCCCGAAAAGGCCAGCATCCATCGGCTGGTGGAGGCCTTCGTCCTGAGGCTGCAGGCCCAGTTCCCCTCCACAGTCAGCACTGTGTACAGGTGCGTTCACAGCGGGCTGGGGGCGGAGGCAGCAAGGCCCTAGCTGACTTGGGACTTGGCGCAGGACCAGTGAGAAGCTTGTCAAAGCCCCCCGGGAGGGCTGTGCCACCGGTGCCCGCTGCCTGCTCTGCCTGTGTGCACTGGACGTTGACGACACTGGTCAGTGCCCGGGGAACGGGGTGGCCAGGGCTGGGCTCAGCAGCTCAGGGTCCCTGTCCTCAGTCCCTTTCCGTTTGCAGACAGCGCCACAGCGTTCGGGGCTCAGAGCTGCTCACGGCTCCCTCCCACACGGCCACCCCCTCCACTGGCTGAGGCAGAGACGCCCCCTGCCCCCTGTGGCCCTCCAGGCCCAGTCAGGGCCCAGGGCTGCAGCCGCAGGTGAGTACCCCGCCTTTTCAACAACCCCAGCTCTGACCCTAACCCTGCGTGCCGAGGCCACGCTCCAGCACCCGGCCCGCTCCCACAGGGAGGATGCCCGGGCCCATCTCCTGGAGCTGCTGTGCTACGGCTGCCGGCTGAACCTGAAGGAGCTGGTGAGTGCCAGAGCCCCCAGGTGGTCGGGCGGTGGCTGGCCCTGCAGGCTCTGTGGCCTCTCACCCCCAGCTTCCCTCGCAGCCCTCCCTGAACCTGCTGCCTCCCTACATCCAGGCTGAGGCCCAGCTCCGCAGCCAGAGGTACTGGGGTGGGCTCTGGAGGAACCCTCGGGGGCGGGGGAGCCCACTGGGTCGGGTTCCCACCTGCGGCTCCCCACAGGGCCTGGGTCAGGCAGCAGATCCAGGAGCTCCTGATTGAGGACACCAGCGACGGGCAGGACGGGCAGAGCTGTGCTGCAGGGAACTCCTGTGATGCCTCCCTATAAATAAAATTACGTTTTTAATTAGAAAACTCTACAGTACACTGGGGGAGGGGGACTGAGCCCCAGGCCCAGTGTTGCCAGCGACGGGCAGGCCGTGGGGGCGCAGTGTCCTGTGACAAGCAGCATCGGGGCTCGGGTGGCCAGGAGGGCTGGAGGCCCCCGCCCCTACTCCTTCTCGCGTGTCCACTTGATCATGGTCTCGGGCGAGCGGTACAGGAAGATGAGCTTGGAGTACAGCTCCTCCTCGAGCTCCAGCTCGCGGGTCTCGCGCACCAGGAAGATGTCCTGGCACAGTTTGAGGATGCGGTCGACGCAGGGCAGCTCCTCGAACATGATGGAGTGGGAGATCTCACTGAAGAAGCCGCGCACGAACTTGCCGACGACCAGCACGATGGACACGTACAGGCCCATGATCCTGCGGACGGGCGGCCGTGAGCTGGGGCCCAGGCCCCCACCCCGCCACAGGCCCCGGGCCGTGCGCACTCACCCGTAGCCGGCCAGGAAGCCGAGGCTGGGAGGGCTGACCTTATCGCTGAAGATGACCATGGGCAGCAGGTTGCAGCTGGCCTGGCAGTCCTGCAGCTCGATGACCCACCACTCCAGGAAGCCAGAGGCCCCCGCACCTACCCGCTCCCTTCGCAGCTGGATGCGCACGCCCAAGTAGTCCTCGTCCTCCCCTGCAGTGGAGTGGGCGTGGGGCAGGCGCACGGTGAGACCCAAGGAGAGGCGCGGGCGGCCCTGCCCGTCCCCCGGCCCGGAGCTCACCAGGCTGCAGCTGCTTCACTGGGTTGGCCTCGGGGCCATTGGGAGCCCGGATGTATTTCGGGAAGAGTTTGGGGATGACCCTGTGGGGAGGCGTGGCGGTCAGGGGACAGCTCTGACCTGCCCATCTCTGTCCCTCGTGCCCCCCACTCACACAGACTGGTCCGAGGTGCCCTCGAGCAGGCTGGCCAGCTGCCGCCGCTCCGTGCTGTTGGGGGCCAGGCCCAGCGTGTGCTTCTCGTTGGTGTACTCCACGGTGCCGCCCTTGGCCAGGTCCCTGTGGGGGCGAGCCCAGTGTGAGCCCCTGCAGACCCACCGCCCTGGGCCTCCCGCCTGCCGTAGGCGCCGCACCTCTGGAAGTTCCAGGTGAAGCGCAGGGTGATGTCGGCCGTGCCGTCGGAGAGCTCCCTCTTCATCTGAGCCCTGCTCGGGGGGCTGATGCGCCACAGTGCCCCGGAGCTGCCCTCGATGTGCGCGGTCACGATGTCCTCGGGGCTGTACTGGCTGATGAACTGCATGGCCAGCTGTGGGGGGTGGGGGGCGCTGCTCAGTGGGGGTGGGGACGGCGGCCGCACCTCACCCTCCTTCCCTCCCCAGGCTGACCTGGCATGGAACCACTTACTGGGTAGGCGTCAAACTGCCTGCACAGCTCCTCGTAGTCCTGGGGCGTGAAGGGCATGATGGAAGGCTGCTGGGCGCTCATGGTGAACAGGGGCTGCAGGCAAGGCAGGATGGGGTTACAGGAGCAGGTGCTGCCACGGCCCGATCCCCCAACCCCACTGCCCCGGCGGGAGCGCTCACCTCGTAGCCGCCCAGCTTGAGGGTGACAGTGACGTCGATGGGCTGGTTGACGACACCGACCACAGAGCGCACGAGAGACATGAAGAGCAGGGGGAACCAGATGATGGCGATGAGGAAGAGGATGATGAGGCCGCCCATGCCATACTTGACGATCTTCTTCTTCTTCTGCCCCTTGGGCTGTGGGTATTTCTGAAGGGACGGGCATGACAGATGCAGGTCGACCCCGGCTCCCCCAGAGTGTGGCAGCCACGCACTGAGGCCCTGGTCCAGCCCGCCCCAACGCGCATCTGCATGGAGGAGGGGTCAGCAGCCAGGGCCCTGGGCCACACTGCTGCGAGGAGCCCTGATCTTGGCCACTGTAAGACACGACTCCCAGGAGGAGGTGGGCAGGCGCAGGAGGAGAAGCCCCTGCCCCGGGCTCAGGGCACCTTTTCCGTCTCGCGACTGCACTTGATGATGAAGATGTTGGCATAGATGTCCTCGACACACATCCAGTTGGACAGGGACAGCGTGGTGTCCGTCCACACCCAGTCCATGACTGCCCGCAGCTCTACCAGGAACGGTACCAGCCGGAACCTGCCAGGGCCGACACTGATGTCACGACGGCCCTGCCTCCCCCTGACCTTCCACCTTGCCCAGGGCCGGACCCTGCTCACCCCTGGAAGAGGAAGAGGTTCAGGTGGTTGTACTTCTTGGTGAGGAAGTTGCCGAGGATACGGGTCGGGTAGCCACAGCGGATCTGGTAGGCAGACAGGGCGAAGTAGATACACTTGACGAAGTACCACAGCTGGGCAACGGCGTTCTGGTTGAACATCCTGGGGCAGGCGGGGTGTGGGGGGCGTGTTGGGAGCCGTCCTGCTCCGAGGCCCCAGCCTGGCCAGCCCCGCCGCTGCCCACCTCTCGGTCACGGCGGGCAGGATGAAGAACATCCACAGGTGGATGGCCAGCACCAGGACCACCTGGAAGGCCAGCTTGCCCAGCACGGTCTTGCGCAGGTACAGGGCTCGGTCCACCACCATGGTGCCAAACTGGATCAGCAGCATGACCAGGAAGGCCTCGGGCACCTGGTCGTCCGACAGCGAGCTCGTGATGTCCGTGGCCGCCGAGTGCTTCTGTGGCCGGGAGAACAGAGTCAGGCGCAGTCTGGCCAGGGCACGGTGGTCGCTGGACTCCGCACCCTCGAGGGTTCCCGGCGCACTCACCCCAAAGGCCCAGAAGCCGAAGATGATGATGATGAAGGCGATGACATCCGCCAGGAACATGAGGGCGTAGACATCGGTGGCCGCGCGGTACCGGGTGTGCAGGATCTCGTGGAAGAAGCCCCGCAGTGGCCGGTACACGCCCCGGGTGCTGGGGGAGGTCAGGGAGTCAGCCCGCGGCCCATCCCCAGCCCCCCGCCCCCCGGGCCCGGCCAGGGGCACTCACAGGGACAGGCAGCAACGCTGCAGGCACTGCCCGGCGGCCCTCACACACTTCCGGGGACGACTCAGCCTCTTCTCTTCCTCCCTGTCCTCCGTTTCTGGGGGAGAAGCTGCTGCTCATGGAACCCCAGGCACAGAGTCCTGCCCCCTCACCCCTCCTGGGCCAGGGGAGCCCCCAGTCATCAGGAAGGGGGCACTCCAGGCCAGCAGCCCTCAACCACGCACTGAGGGGCAGGCGCCGCAAGCTCCCTGGGCAGCGCCGGCCCTAGTGCCCCCCATGCCCACCGAGGCCAGGGCTGTTACCCGCAGCTGCCGCTCCCTGGGGCTCCAGGCTGCCCGTCTTCCTCCTGAGTCGCAGGCTGCCACACCTGGCCTCTGCTGCATCGGGGGCCACATCTGAGGCACTGTTTTTGGGTTCTAGTGGGTCTGTCCCTGGTTCCTCCACTCGCTCCTGGCCGTTGCTCCCCCCGGGCTCCTTGGGGTCCTCGTGGTCCCAGAGACCATAGCACTGTGCAGGAAGCAGGCAGTGAGCAGACAGGCTGGGCGCGGTGCCCAGTGCCCAGCCTGCCCGCCAGGCGCTCACCAGCAGCTGGGAGCGGTGGAAGAAGAGCGCCATGAGCTGCAGCAGGTCGTACTTGACGTAGCTGTCACTCTTCTCCAGGCCCAGGATGCGCGGCGGGAAGTAGGGCTTGTTCTCGTAGCGCCGCAGCACCACGTGGCTGTTCCAGGGGAAGAAGCCGAACTGGAACAGGTACTTGATGACCACGGTGGCCTGTGGGGACGGGGGTCAGCACAGACCACGCAGCCCCCGCCCCACCCGCCGGCCGGCCGGGGCCCACCTCGGTGAAGATAATGGCAGTCATCCAGAAGCGCTTGCTGGGCCGCGGGATGGACAGCATGGCCCACAGGAAGACCAGCACGGGCAGCACGAGCGAGGCGGCCGAGGCGGTGACCATGTGGTTGAGGATGATGACAAAGTAGCACAGCAGCTCCGAGTGGGCCGCCACGCACTGGTACGCTGCCCGCAGCAGGCGCAGCGCACGGCCCTGCCCCTGCTCGAACCGCTCGGCCTCCTCCAGCTCCGGGATGTGCAGGCGCCTGAGGGGGACCAGGCTCAGGCCCACGGTGCCCCCGGGGGTGCCCGCCCATGCCCCTGGCCCACGCCCCACACACCTGTCAAACAGCAGCTCGCTGGCCGTGCGCATCCGGGGCCGGCCGCTGGCCAGGAGCTCCCGGGAGTCACGCAGGGAGGCCCCGGGCTCGCTCAGCAGCTCCTCGCTGCCGCTGCGCGTGTTGTAGCCCGTGTTCAGGGGGCTGCTGCTGTCCTCGGCCACGCTGGCCAGCGGCTCCTCGGGCCCCAGCCCGCTGTGGGGTGAGAGAAGGCTGTGCTGCAGGCGCTGCTGGCCAGGCAGGGGCTCCCGGCCTCAGGCCCACACCCACCTGGACGCCGAGCTCAGCACATCGCGGGCCTCTGCCTCACTGTCGTACAGCTGATCCAGCACACTGCGGCGCACCTCCCCGTGCTGCGGGGCACAGGCAGGAGGGTTCGTGGGGGTCACGGGTGGGGAGTCCTGCGGCCCACGGGCCGGGGCCCTGGGGGAGGCATGGCTCACCCGCAGCAGCTCCTGCGTGAGGAGGTGACGCTCTGCCCGCAGCACGTCACTCATGTTGCGGTGCTGCCTGGTGAAGGCGTGCAGCCAGCGTGTCAGCCCGTCCACCAGCGCTTGCCCCAGCACCCACAGGAACTGCGCCGTGCTCAGCACCCGTTGCATCATGTGGCTGCGGCCTGGGGGAGAGGAGGCGCTGGAGAGGCGGCCGGCCCGCGCAGGGCCCCCCAAATCCCTGGGACCCACGCACCTGCCACCTGTTCCTCAGGGCCTTCTGGCTCCAGCTCCTGGCTCAAGCCACCTTCTGGGCACAAGGGAGCTGGTCAGCACCACACAGCCCTGCAGTGCCCCGCCAGCACCCCGTGCCCCGACTCACCAGGGGCCGGCGACTCTGCCTGCTCCTGCTGTGCCCGCTGCCGCCGGCGCTGCCGCAGCACCGTCTGTGCGTTGGTCACCCATGCCTGG